ATTTACCTTAAAGTTGTAAAGTTTATGTTAACAGACGTATAAAAGTGACCTTTAAATTTAAAACGTTAAGAACATTAATACCAGCAATAAACTAATGGAAGAGTTATGTGATGTTTTCTAGTATGTTGCGCCGTGTCGTATGGTAGAAGTTAGCAGACGTTTCAGATGTGCTTACTGCCTCCATCATCAGGGCGATTGATAAGAGTAATCGCCCTGGTGATGGAGGCAGCAAGCACCACTGATGCGTCGGAAACTTCTACCATACGACACGGCGCAGCATCCCAGATGGCTGTTACTTTTATTAGCGTCTAAATACAGTTACAGTGCAAAGTCGCTTTCTTTATTAAATTTATACTTGTTTTCCACGAATGTGTGCTCCAACTCAATATTAACATGTTTCTAAATGTGTTCTTTGTAATTTTGTATATGCCATTAATTATACCTGATGCCAATTTATTGTAGATTTAAGATGTATTGACACAAAACCTACACGTAACCTGAAGTTTAAGCCTTCCTTACAGCTTTAAAGTGTCACAAATACAAGTTTTAGTTTGTACGACGAGCCATTTCTTTGAAGTTTCGTCTTTCTGTAAATTTGTGGTTTTCGAAATTAAATTTATGCAAACAACTTTCTGTGAAGACTCCTTATAAATGTTTTCATAGACGTTATTGCTCTAGATTTGTGGTCGCACGTACAGACACGTTTTTCCCATTATGCTTTCATTTTATGCACTTTGTGCAAAAGAACGCGTTGGTAAATGGAGGTACATCCATTTTTCAAGAACCTTTTCAATGTGGAATGTTTTGAATGGGGGAGAATATGTCGTGTATTTCTTTTTGTTCCACGTGTGACTTTGCATACGTGATATACCACCGCTTGTAGTTAGTGAGGTTCTACTAATTTAAGAAACCTTTCATTAGTGGCTTGGGGTTAATTTTAATGACGTAGAGTGTAGAAGAAAGATTGCCAGTCACTCGCACAAAATGAACATTAGTTTTTTTGACTTCATTGTCCACTTTATATACTTACCACTTAATGACTTTAGATTTATTATTTGTAGACTCACTTTTGCTTCAGGTGCGAGACATATTACTATCGAAGTATTACTTTCAAGGCTGATTTACAGGAAAGGGATAATCACTTTTATGTAAAATATTCTTCACTATTTCTAAATAAGAATGTTTATGCAAAATATCAAACTGGACTCAAGGGACATTTATACTTAATAATAGTGGAGAATATTTTTCATGTTTATAGACGTCCCTACTACAATGTATATAATTCAGTAATATTTTAGCCGTCTTCAATCATTATATGTTTGAATGTGTGTATAGATTTATTCGACTGCATTTTGTTTCTTACGATTCTAATGTATGTTATGATTTTTATATTGGCCTAATTGTATACATCCAGTTAAGGATCTTAAAATTTTTAATTTATGTCTCTGTATTCTTTTCTATGTCACTTTCTACCGTATTTTACCACTGGATTAAGTATTTGAAGCCGAAGCTCGTATAAATAATAGTTAAGAATTCAGTCCGTACCGCAAAGAAAACACCTTACTTCGCCATTACAAGGATCAGGTGATTAATGTTATAGATGATCACTGTTTATTCTGAGAATCATATGAAACCTATAAATACAAAATTCAGTGAATGTTAAAGCAAGTGAGTTGCCAGTAGTTACCAGTGACTTTAAAGGTTTAATAAATATTTTGTATAATTTTAAGTATGTAATTCTGGATATTACTGTACTGAATTATCTGTAAATTATTAGATTTTGCGTGTTTCAGTGTTGTACTTTTACTTTTCAAGTTTTTATTTCGATCTTTGTGTAAAATATTTTCTACGTAGAGTTCTTTAAATTCGTGTTATTTCTTATTTGTTTAAAATCTGATATAACCTATATCTGTAAAATCTGCTGATTTTATATAAGGTTATAAAGATAATAAATAGGGATAATAACCCAGAAGTCCATAGTACAGCTAACCTCAACATGTTGGTAACCCTGTACGCAGATTTATTGTACCATGGGTAGAGAACTTGAAAGTCATACCACATTTTACACTTAATTTATTACAGTTCTATAGTTACCACATGGCATAACCAACGTCAAGGCTGAGTAGCTAGCTTTCCTGATTTATATTCTTGGAGGTCACAAATACAACTCTTCCCTCTAAACGCCAATCATGATAAAGGTGTATAAACAATGCACTTAAGACCGCACTAAAGTACGTTAATAGGTAAAACTTTGGCTGCGAGTTAAAGTACTATTATTGTTATGGCCAATCATTATTAATGTTTTATTTATTGTTATTTTGGTTGTATGTATAATTTTTCCTATTTTTATGCTGTCTCTCTGATTGTCCATTTTTGTATCGATGCAGTAAACTAAAATTAAGAATTGAATTATTATTATTATTATTGTTATATTTGAGATGCCACAGATGAATCCGTGGACACTATAATGAACCTCCATGTTCCATCAAACTTGGCGACTAAGAATAGATGGTACTGGCACCAAGTTCCTTGCCGTGGTCGACTATGAATTAGGGGTTTTCTAATTCCTGTTGTCAGTGTCTCAAGGCTTTGTCAACGCAAGACAAAACAGCGAAACAGTGGAGACACTCGTGCCTCGAGCCTCGTGCAGACGGGACCCCAGACTAGACATTCTGGCGACCTGGTCCAGCATGTAACAATTAGTTTCATAATTTAGGCAAGAGGAATAACGTTTTGGCCGCAGATTCGATTCCACTCTAAAAGAGCTCGTTCTTGTAGTGGAAATTTCTCTAATGAACTACGAACACATTGTAGCACGTGCTTAGTTTCGACAAATCTTATCCGCGTCTTAATGGCTTCTACAACGCAACGCAATTAAATTTTCCATGTACATGTTGCATCATTTAACGAGTCAGGCTATATCCTGTACATTTTTATGTATTTTTTAAACTTAATTTCTAATTATTATTTACTGAGAAAGTGGTGTTTTCAAACATGACCTGTCTGCAGATTTTACCCTCTTAAAAATTAGGACGTTACTTTGTGATTTTCTTTGGTAGTCTGTAAATATATTATACTACTAATAAGGATCGATTTGTTACGTATATTACGCTAATATCGTGTTACTGTTGTATTTTTTTTTTGGTTCCTTTGTACATGCAAGAAACAAAAAGTTCACTTGGTGAATAGATTTGAAACGGAGGGAATTAAGTAGAAGTCAGTAACTTGCATATTGTTTGTTGCTGGATGTTTTGGTTTGTTTCTACCTGTTCAACTGCATACGTGTAGCCAATAACTTAACACTGCTCAGCATTGTAAAATTAAAAGTTCTATTGCAATGCAGAAAATTAACTTAACGTTCTACATTTAAGAATTCTTTTAAAAAAAAACACACTCAATTTATTCACAATTGCAATATTAATTAGTGGGTATATAAAATGTATTTCTCACTTAAAATCAGAATTGTTTTGTACACGACAGTGTAAAAAGAAACGACCTAAAGGCGTCTCTTTGTCCTTAAAGCAGCTGTGGGCTTCCCCCAGTTTCGATGACAAGGCAAATCTTTTCTCACGAACCCAGTAACGACTGATCTATAATAGGAGGTCATGCGTGTTGTTTGGTCTGTCGCTAGGTTTGCCGACTGATAATTTGCATATGTCGCTAACTGGGAGAGGGAACATGAGATGTCTCTGCTTAAACAATACGAAACCAAACTCAGTTTACAAAAGGAACGACAAAAAAAAGGGACGATCTTAACAGACAACGAAAATTAGCTTCATTTCCCGTCGAACTGCACAGCGGCACTTGAACATACTTTTTTAATGTTCAGGTTTAAATCCTGTCATCCATTTACTTAACACAAAAATTTGCATGGAATGGAATGGAAAGGATAATATTAAAACTGATCTTCGATATTTTATGACGACATGAACTTCAGTAAACTGCCTCACGATTAGATCATAAGATTAGCTTTTGTCGTGACAGTAAGAACCGTTGTTTTAAATATGTTTGCTGATTCATTTTCCGGGAAACAACTGTCGATTTTCTAAAAGAATTCTGTAACGTGGAGTTTGATAGGTAGTTCGTTATTATTCACGGTAACTGATTGGTCACTGACGTGGAAAAAACTCCTTCGGACATTGTCCCTGCGTTTCATAAATTTATGTTCGACGCTTTGAAGTCTGGCTGTCTTTAGGTAAAAGTACGTCATTCGTAAGACCTGGTACTTATTTACAGTTGACGTAAGTACCAATTCGTTGGTAGATTGGTTGGTTACTTAGATACAGTACCACACTAAATGTAGAATTTGTAGTATTATGGATACAAAAACTCTTTCTTCGTTTAAAGTCCTGGGAAAATCAGTTATGACTGGAAAAATATATTCTAATAAATGTATTTGCCAGTATAAAACGTGTTGAACCTACATTATATTATATGATATGGTAGTTTCTCACGGCGGTAAAGCTGTCGATTTTGGTCTTCTTGGTTGTAACGCAGAGTAGAATTTTGGGTAGATACAAAAGTTTCGTAGGAACACACCGCTTCCATCTTAAGGGCAGAAAATGACTGTGTACTACCAAAACGTTTTCGTACGTACAAGTCTACACAGCGTTACAGACCAGAATATCAATATCGATAGACTGTATTGAATCGAATTGTTGATGTTAAACGAAAATATACTAACAATGACAAAATTAACAAATTTTTTCGACACAAATTGGAAGAAGTGTAAGGGGGAGACCAAAAAGAGGATAACGACAAGGAATTTACACAATGATTGAAGAAAGATGATGGAATGTTAACAATTTCTGTGAGTAAACTAAGAATGAAGACAGAAGTTGCTGGACACACACACACACTGATAATTAATTATTTTTGGAACATACAACAATGCTATACTTTATAAAGTGTTCTGAATTGCAATTTGTCGTTTCTACTTCTGTCCATTATTCATTGGAACTCGAGAGCAGTGGCTACGCGTTCTTGAGCCGTTCGAACTCATGGATCGGTGCTTCGAGTTCCGCTCTGGGCATGGTGGGACGATCCGCAGTCCAGGGACTACTGAATATCCAGTGGGGCCTCTGTTTGAGAAGAAATACCAAACAGGAGGAGGAAAGCGTCTATGTTTGTTATCAGTAGAAAGTACCAAACAAGAGGTGGAAAGCGTCTATGTTTGTTATCAGTAGAAGCGATCGTCTTGGACAGATTTTTGTGGGACATGAACGTATGCCCGTGCTTTATAATATACCGATCCCCCATATAAGGAGTCGCACCTGAGACAAATTATATTGCACTTACAGGGTCTAGTTTGATATAAGTGTTCCTTTCAATTGCTTCTACATATTATGCAAGACGATGTGACAGCTAGCGACCATCAAATAACCGCAGGACATAGCTTGTCGCAAGAAAACGCACATAGAAATCTGGACTGTTATATTAAACATGGGTTTGCAATTTTTGGTCCACACTGTAGGTCCCACATTTCCGTCAAACGCACGTATGATGATATGCACGTGTGTTCTCCTCAGTTCATCAGTTATCCCCCATGCAGACCCCTACTCCTCTCGGTACAGGCAAGAGGCCCGTTCTTCCTCACCGCCTGTAGAATTCGCGGACCCATCTGACCAGTTTTTACGCCCGCGGTACAACGAACACTTGCGAACAAGAACGTCCCAGGACGACGTGTCGCTCTGAGCCGACAGCTCGTGGAGAGCACGGAATTATGCATGGGGAAAATTCCGTCCTGAACTGTTGACAGTCGCACACATAATCAACAGATTACCCGTCTTTTATGGTTCCCGGATGTTCATTATCGGTTTCAAAAAATCCGCCATCAATACCGAACCTGGGCCAGATGAAACCAGTTCACACCGCCACACCCAAATTCCCTAACATGTTTTAATATTATCCTTTCATCTGTTCTTATGATTTCCGAGTGGTTTCTTTCTTTCAGACTTTATATTCAAAATTGTGTGTGCACTTTTCTTATACACTCCGTGCGTGCTACGTCTCCCTCTAATCTCATCCTCCTTGGTTTGATCATTTTAATAATATTAAATATATAAATTTTGGTGAATAGTAAAATTTTTTGAGCTCTCCATTATACTGTCCTCTCCCTTCTCCGGCCTTTTATCACATTATTACGTCACATATATATCATGTCATACCATGTAGATATATACATTATAACATATTTATTGCATTATGTAATCCGTTATATTAGATTATAATAGGTTATAGGAATATAGTTAAATATAATATATGCATATAGGTTTATTACATAATAGGATACAGTATGATAACTTTGCTTTAGGAATGAGGTCGAATTAGCGCAGAGTAATTAAAACTTCAGATATTCTTAGGAATTCTATAAGGCTCTTTTATATTTACTTGTTTTTATGTAAAATTTATCCTCAACTGCAGAATTTAGTAAGGCTCTTTTATATTTACTTGATTTTCTATAAAATTTATCCTCAACTGCAGAATTTAGTTTTCTTCACTGTAGGTCTACGTAGTTCGTCATCTTTGATGTTTCATTACATGTTTCGTTCAGAACTGAATCTGAAACCCCGAACCTTGGAATTTTACAAAACTCTTTCGTTACACGTGATGAGATCAGTCCATCCCACGGCCTGTACCCACACAGGACAACGCATCACAGGCAGACGCAGACATACCTACGTCCATGCCCCCAGTAGCACCATTTCCGCAAGCTCAGAGTTAAAGTCGAGCAGTCCTTTGCTGTTGTGTCATATGCCACTTTTTCTCTAAGTCCTTACCTGAAGCCTACTTTGCATGTTTAAACTAATTATAAATGCATCCTCTAGGGTTACATGACGGTGCTAATTAAAACTGACCCTGATTTTTTTTCTTTCATTCTTTTATAACTTTTTGTTATTAGTAGTGTATTTGAGGAACATGCACTGGGGCGGGAATTATTTTTCTATGTGTGCATAGACCGTTTGTAATTATGAAACGGGTGTTGATAGACACAGCTGCATGCTGGGAAATATTTTTATAAAACTGTCCCCTGGTATTGTGTTAATTTTTCATACGAGTCTTGATTTTTTCTCGCTGTTTCGTTATTCTCTTGTGTGCAAGTCCTTTTTGTTATGCTTTCTTTCCACGCCCATTTCCTTATGCATTCTTCCTGTTTCCAGTTCTGGGGCATGGCTCTTTCTTAACTAATAATTCTTCCTTATTATATAAATTATAGGTCAAAGTACTACTTACTTCATAATACAAACCGCACTTGTGTTAAGTCATTTCTTTAGAAGTACAATTTTTACGCGTCATTCATTTTAGATTTTTATAAATAATTGTAAGATACTACACGTCCAGTCATTAAGAACAATGGCCCACTTCAGTCGGACTTTGCCTTGATGTTAATAATCCAGATTTTAGACGATTTTTTCACGTGGAAAGAATATGCCTGCAGTACACAAACAGAATGTGAGGCATACTAAGCATGGTTGTGTATGTACACTAATACAGGTTGCATATTGAAAGGGATTTACTATCCTGTGTTCTATAATGTCCACCACGCCAACAATATTTTAATAAGATAGTGTAATTGCGTCATATTGTGAATATTATATCAATTATTTATTTTAATCCGTCTGATCACAATACAATTTTTTATTTAAAATTTCTTATAATTAAGATAAATAAAATAAATAATTAATATTTTAATACCAAAGGAGACTGTTCTTATCTGAGTTAAGGTTTATGCACCACGATCATCTTATGTAGTCGAGACTCCACACTTCCCTAGAATAAAATATGCATATTTTTAAAATCGGACCGCAATAGAAAGACTTTGTACTCTAAATACAAAATTTATTTCAGGAAAGCATACAATATTAAAAAAAAATTATCGCAATTGTAGATAGTGGTTTTCTCGGTTGAAATAATTTTCAGGGTAGAAGATTCACGCCTGGAAATGGAGGCAGTGGTATTCACCTTCTGACCTGAAGATAGAGACAATGAGTTCCTCCGAAACGTCGACGTCTATCTGCGAGTTAACTCGGCGTTACAACACAGAATAATATCATGGTTTTCACCACAAGACCACAATCGCATCTTCACTGCCATCATCAGGTTCTTAAATCTCAGATAAATGGTAGTGTGGAAGGGAATGGTGTTATCAGGACACCATTACATTCATTCTCCACAAAGAACGGTCCAGTACCTTCTCGATTTCTTTCGACAACTCTTATTTCTTCCACGTTTTCTGCTCCACAAGTCAGTATGTAAATGACCAATCATTTTGTGTGTCTCTCTCTCTCTCTCGAGAAAGAAAGATAAATTTAAAAACGCAGACAGCAAGAATAAAAATGACTGGCGCTCATATGCTAATGACTTCGAGAGTCCTCTCTCTCTCTCTCTCTCTCTCTCTCTCTCTCTCTCTCTCTTTGTGTCCGGCTCCGGAGCGCGATAAAACCATGAGGGTTTGAAGGGTGCTACTGAGCTGCAGTAAGTTTTATGCGTCTCCTATCCCTTTGGACTTTTTATATCAGCTCCATAAATTGCCTTCTGCGGTGTATGTTGATGCAAACTGGCCTTAACCAGGCTGAGCCGCTAGGGGTCCAGGAAATGTTGACCACGTGGTGAATCGAACAGTGTCACGGTCATGGAAGTATGCATAATGATCATAGCGTGATCCTTTCGTATATTGTTCAATCTCCCAACAGACGTCGCTAGCGTATAGCACACCTGCTTGGTATTCGGGGGGTCCTAGGTTGAAACTCGGCCCGGATAACAATCATGCTGACTGATATTTTATATTGTATTCGTCGGTCCCTCGAGGCGAATACCGAAAGAGTACATTAAATTAGGTCACGAATTCTTTCTTTTACATTCTTTACAATTCATTAATCATCCTATCGTTCACCACTCAGAGTTGCAAATATGCGCCTGTTACCTTCACCGTCTCATTGCCGAATATATTTGTTTACTGTCTTATATTGGAATGTTCTACTAAAACGTATTGACACGTTTTAATTTTTTGTTAAAAACTTGCAGAAATAACGGACACTTTTCTTGATGAAATTCATGCGTATCTGCGACCGAAAGTTATTTGGTGGGGCTTCAACAACATCCGTGCTATTGCGTTGAGGAATTTATAGGGAATCCTTCATATGAATGTTATCACCCAACCATACTGGCACTAAGAATTTTGCCCACACAAAAATCACTAACACTAACCAATTCTGACGTCATTGGCTCTGTTCAGAAAAATCAGATTTTAACGGAAGAGTTATAATTGTACTGTACGTAACCTCACTTGTCCAGTCATTTAAAGGACAACGGTGAGCCGATCCCCCATGTAAGGAGTTCTATCAAATACGTAAGACGTTCAGAACTAATTCAGAGTCAGGACAGATCAGAGGAAATAATCCATAGCAGATGAAGAAAACGTTAGTCATTAAATTAATTAGTTAGTTATTTAATTGGTTGCCAAGTTGGTTATTTAGTTCAGTTAATACGCGGACCACTTATTTAACTAGCCAGCCTCTTAGTAATTTAGTTAACCTTTTAGTTAATTAGTAAGTCAGTTGGTTAATTAGTTTGTTGGATTAAGAGTACAACATCATAATAAAACCTCCATGCAAATGGAATATGACCAACACTTGTTTACACGTGTGAGACGATACTGAACTAAGCCGACTGATAGGAAGGTCTGCGAGTCTGTGTGTATGTGACGGAATGCTGAAAGATTCTCGTCCGATAATCATATGGTGCCTTGTGCTTTGTAACAGTTGATTATAGGGTACACAGGTATTTTTATAATGATATTGGGGAGAGGGGGGTCATTGTGGGTGGATTAAGCTCTATATAGTTGACCTCAGTACGGTCATCCCAGGACACCTTGACTCTCTCTCTCTCTCTCTCTCTCGCTACCAAATTGTCGGTTTTTATGTCAAAAACGTTTCTCTTTTTCGCTTTAAGAACGTCTTTTATTAACTTGCATTTTCAAACAACAGCATGCTACTTCGTCTTATTCTGGGAGTTAGGTAATGCATTTTACAAAGGCTTACGCAATGTTTAGTCAAAACATGTTCCTTCACTGCTATTGGCATTCAAGTTATCGAACTGATTGGATATGCTAGCCTCGCCAGGAACCGATCTTATGGTATTTAGGCACTGGCGTTGTATTTAATATTAGGAGACTGCATGATAATAAAATGTATTCGATTTAGTCTGTTTCAGGGTTTCTTTTTTCGGAAAATGAATGTCTACCGGTAATAAGCGAAGTTAACTATAGCCCTTAACATATTCTTCTCGAGTCTGTTGTAGTTCTTGGCAACACTACGACATCATTGAGGGGCGAAACAATAAAACAAACGAAGAATCAGAAAAAATAAATAAAAGGAGATTTGAGAAAGCAAGTGGAGAAGGGCACAAAAGAGAAGACATCTTGGTCTTTGTTACTTCTCGTGGTGATACTAGGTTACGTAACAGTGACGTCATCTTATGTCATCGCGCGGTGATCCTGGAGTTGCGTATCGTTGGCATCACCTCGTCGCTTAGCCTGGTGATCCTGAGATGCATATTAATGACGTCACATTAAGTAACCATTCTTTTCTGATCACGAATGTCGTCTGTTTTCGATGACATTTCCATGTTAATAACAAATTATATGTGTTGTCTCGTTTTTTTTTAAATTCTCTTTTAAAAGGGGGTAGACAAACCCCTCAACCCCTAACTCTCTTGAAGAGCCCACCACCCTATTGCGGCCTATCAACCTTTTGACGTGGAGACCATTTTATTGCGTTTTATGTCAGAAACTCCGTTTCTTTTCAAACTTCGAAATGAGATTTGTTTCGTGTTGGAATATTTCAACTTTTGTGTAGGTTTAACCATCTCATTTTTTCTTCATTTATATTGATGATGAAAAATTGCGTTATCGTAAGGAAAATGTACCTTTTATTAGCTATATTGGCATGTGGTAGCACACAATTAGGCTCACGTACATAAGTCTGTGTACCTTATCCCCCCCACCTTCTGGTTCAATTACTTATCGTTTTGTTTCTAATCCCGTGTTCAGAAGCCAATTTTTTTTTCTTCCAGAAAAACGTTTTTTCCCTTGCCAATCTGAGAGACCTACTTAGGTCATCACGGACTTCCCATTGTTATTAAACCGGAATCATGTCTTTGATATCTCACGTTACTTCACCCTGAAGATGGCGGTGGTATTTTCTGTCCGAAAAGTTAGTATCCACCTAAAAGATCACGCGTTCTGACATCCGCCTTCTCACCAAAGAAATTCAGATCGGAAGTTCCAGTGTTTTACGATCGATAGGTCGTGTGTACGTATGATGAGAAGCTTTAAGCTGGGAAGGTCAGGAATGGCGGGAACTTATTGCACTTTATCAATGCAACGCTTTGGAGGACGGTGAGGATAAAAAAGCTGCTCACCTTTCACAGCAAGTAATAATGAATCAAGGTCGATATATAAAATAACTTCAAGAAATGTGTATGATTGCTTGATTAACGAGCCAAGCTGCTCTTTTATTCATGTTACTTATCTGCAGCCGACTTCATAGAAAGCGGAATAAATACAGCTTTCTGTATGGTTTAAATAATATTTTTTAATCACAAACTCTAAAAATTCCTCGGTTAGCATTATGCGTTCTTTGCACGAAGTGCATAGCAAAAACGCGTTGTATCCTCAACTCGAGAAATATTGGATGTATTTGGATGAAATTTAATATGGAGGTTGTGCCATTCTGGACGACTTCAGAATCGCAGTCTTGAATATTCTACGAGCAATTATAAAACTTGTTGGGGTTATGCGATCTGGTGACCAAAGTGGGAACTGTCGGACAAGGCTGATTTAATACCTCTAAATGCACGCTGCAAAGAACATGAAGATATTTTGTGTATTCCGGTACAGAATATATTTTTCGAGCTTGTTTACAGGAGATAAACTGATATTTTTTTGTCCCTACTCGTGCTGTATTTTTTATTAAGTGCGCAAGTTATGTAATTGTTCAGAAATCGTAATTTTTTTCCCGAGTTATGCAACTATGCAGATAATACGTCCATTACCGAAGTAGGAATTTATTATGTAACATAAGACCTATGTTTATTTGTTATATAAAATTCCAGACGAATGATTTTACAATGATTTCAGAATTTTCCGAGTTATAACTATTCCAGTGTAAAGAATATAAATAAAAATAAGAAGATTTCCCTTCGCTTGACGTTACCCGTGATAATGTATGGTGAAAATGATGTAATTCTTCATGCATTCTTAATCTGTGCATTCTAGAGAAGCGAATTGTTTACCGAAACCCTCAGATTTCTCCCAAAGGACAGATCCTCGTGTATGTCTGCTCATTCGATAGCACGCTAGTGGGCCCCAGAGCAGATTTGAACTCCATGATGCACCCGCTAAGAATGAAGCTCACGTGTCCGGTGGCTATATTGGTTGAGCTGTTCAGATTCAAATGATCACCAAATATGAACATTATACAGAATAAATAAACACATTTAACAATTTTATATTAGATACTTGTTACATGTGTTATTATAGACGAATCTACGTAATGTTCAAATTAATCAGTTATCAGTTTTCTTAAAAATTATCTGAGATTTAACATGAAGATGTTGATTGTCTAGGAAACATCTTCGCTTCGAATTTGAGTTTATTTCTACTCTTTATATTAACACTTTCCATTATGATGCTCGTCTGAATATCATTAAAAAATAGTTTTTACGACCAAAGAAATTGCAAAGCGTCTCCATTACGAAGATCACTTGGTAAAATGCTGTTTAGGAAAATAATCTGTTTATTTTAATAATCATGAGAAACTCTTAAATACGATCCGTGGGTAAATGATAAGGTGTTTATTGAAGTGAGTGGTACACATAGTTACCATGCTTTGACAGAAGAGACCATCAGTTCCATATGTCGTTCTAACACTATCAAGTGCTTCTCTCACACATTATCTTGTGTGGACACACACGATATTAATAAGTGTGACGTCACCATGGGGTGCGTGGCTTGGCGACTAAAGAATGAACTAAACACAGCTGCAACTGCCATTTTAAATAATGAACACCCTTTCTATTCCCCACCCACAGCCCTTCATAAAGCTGAAAAATTTCAGCGAACACAACAAGGACAGAGAACATGAAGTGTTCGGACAGGCTGAACGGACATACAGATGGACGCCAGTGCATTGTTTAATGGACAATGTAATGAATTATTATATTGTATTCTTCATGGTGCTTTTTCTAAAAATCTTTTTGTTTTGTGGCCAAAGGGTGTGTTTTTTAGTTCTTTTGTTTTGTCCATCTTATTTGCATCGGTAATTGTTTTGCTGGATTCGCCAAGGGTCGGGGTGCTTACATGACAGCGTCCTGCTGTAGGCAAAGCAGACTTCTGCATTTTTGGTTCTGACATTAAATGCTCATCTTCTTTTTAAATACACGTCGTGTAACGATACTTATTTTCCCTTTCTCAAAGTACGTGGATTGCGGGTAAATAAAATATTATATGATAAATTTGAAAATAAAGTTCTAGATAAGTTAGGCGTTTCGTTTTAGGGAAAATTTCTATCAAAAAATATTTTATTAATTAGAGCACAGACGTTATATGATATTTATTATGTTATTCTGGGTTCTAGTGCTATGTTGACTGGTCGATGTATGCCAAAATACTCTCCCCATCTTCAGCTCTGAAGATGGAGACAGTATGTTTCTCTGAAACGTTGGAATCTACCCACCAGTGAACATGGCGACAAATCACAGAAATAAACCATCGTCATTATTGTCACTGCCGTGGAAACCTTAAATCTAATTGTGGTATTTATTTAAAATTTTAAGATGCAGTCCCTCGGAACCGTAAAATACACCACCAAAGTGGTGAGTGGTATGTAACATTTTTGCATTACGTCCCAATAATACATGGACTTTGTCATTTCGTGTGCACTATAATTATTTATTGACGTTACGTCATTTCCAACTTTCTATTTACACACATATATCGATTAGAAATATAATCGGAATTTAATTTTTAAATCTGCGAGTGTTTATTATTTTTTTCTCTCGTCCCGTTCTTTTAAATTTCATCAACAGATGTTATATTATTCAATATAAAAGATATTCAATTAAATCGTGAGATTTTAATAAAGAAATATACATCAGGGGGTTATTACGTCTACTTCCCTCCCCACACCGCGCTGCGCGGTTATTGCTATTTCTTTGTTTGCAGTCTCCAGGAATCAATATCTGATACATAATCTATATTTGAAAAATGAGATTGATGTATTCATCATACCGCTTTATTTAAACTTTGTCCTCCGTTTTAGAGTAGGACAATTCTACTTTTTAAAAGTTGCGTTACAGAAAACAACGTTCTTCTCCTACTCCCATGCTGAGAAAATTATTTTATGTCTTTATGGTGACGTATAAGTAATTAACCTAAGAGACAAGAGATTTCAGTGTATGTTTCTTTTAATTAGGTTTAATATTATCTCACTTTGAAGTTATAAAATAGGTTAATGGCTGGTTTCGAAGCAATATACATCGTTGGTAGCATTGAGAAGGTTGTGAAGTTCATAACACTAAGAATAAAATCTTCTCGGGCAATCAGCCGCGTTAACTGGTTAACGTAGTAAACCACGGCTGATTGCCCGAGAAGATTTTATTGATTGTACTCGCCGCGAAAGTCTCAAATTCTATTTCATAAGACTACGGCCTATGAAACCGACCATTGTGTATGTTCTAATAACTTTGTCATTTGTCGTTGCAGGCGAGAGGCCGTACAAATGTCATTTGCCAGAGTGTGGTCGCGCCTTCATCCAACTTAGCAATCTGCAACAGCATCTGCGCAATCACGACGCGCAGGTAGAGCGCGCGAAGAACAGACCTTTCCACTGTAACATCTGCGGAAAAGGATTTGCAACGGAGTCGAGCCTGAGGACTCACACGTCCAAGGTAGGGACCGTAAGTCATTTTCATTGTTTACTTTCATCCTAACGGGGACGGAGAGCATGGGGGTAGTTGCTGAATTTACCCCGACAATTCCTAAATCAGCCCTTACCAAAGGTATGTATGTGTCCTTTTTATCGTGAGACTGCATTTTCGCGGACGGCAACAGTCAGGTGCGTAATAAAAGAAGTCCTTAGTTTTTTTTCACTTGTTTGATTATTAGGCAGCAAAGTATGTTTCAGGATCACACGATAAAAGAATTTTGTGCCTTTTGTTTATACGAAATTTTAAAAGTGTCCAACATACATTGCGGACTTATTATTGAATTAAATGTGAAAAAATGTTTTAATGCTCAGGGCTTAGGCAAGTGAACAGGGTTTACCATTCATCCAGGTCACGTTGTTATGACAAAGAAATCAATGATATTAAACTCTTCGTTTGTAGATATTATGAGAAGTATAAATAATTATAATTATAAATAAGTACTTTTTTTCTATTTTGGTAAGGACTGATTCAATAGTTGTCACCTTAATGTTTAAGTTATATAAATTAACTTATATCCAACTACAGGTAACTTAAAATTTTAAAGTCAAATTGTAAAAAAGATATTAGGCCTTGCTTTATGAATAATATTATGTAATAATTTTAGTAAAACAGCTGATGCAAATAAAACACCGCATTTATTACATAAAAACTTGCGTTATGTACTTCGCAGAGTATTAAACCTGTACTCTAACCAAGGCGAATGGTTATGTGGTGATAAATATAAATACCAGTTGAACATGCGTTAGTACAGTTCTATTTATTAGCCAGAGATTCAAGAACAATCGTTTGTGACTATTGGCTTCTGTCGGGATATATAGAAGGTTCAACTACGTATTGCTCTATAATCGCCTACTTCAGGGGAGACATTTCTGATCCCTTACGCGAAACGTTTATTTTTTATTTGTAGTGTTCTGTCTGACGACAGGTCCATATGAACAGGATCCTTCCATCCTTTTCTCGGACTGGGACCTGTTCATATACGTTCTTGGCAGATGATCCAGAAGGGGTTTGCCATTGCCTTCTTCTGTGTGAGTGTGAATGGAGTAATTGTTGGGATGCCACGGACGAAAACTCCGTGTTGCCTAGACCACCTCATCTTATTATTATTTAGTGTTCTGTCTGACGACAGGTCCATATGAACAAGATCCTTCCATCCTTTTCTCGGACTGGGACCTGTTCATATAAGTTCTTGGCAGATGATCCAGAAGTGGCTTGCCATTGCCTTCTTGTGTGTGTGAATGGAGTAATTGTTGGGACGCCAGTAATTGTTGGGATGCCACGGAGAAACCGGGGAAGCCCCCGGAAGAAAACTCCGTGATGCCTAGACCACGGCCTTACCCAACACAAGTTATAAATTTGAGCACCACCGGGAATTGAACCCGGGACCCCAGGCTTACAAGGCTAGTGTTCTGACCGCGAAACGTATCGAACATTAATTCTCTGAAGCAAAATAAGTGATATCTATACGGGAATTATTTAGTGAATATCATGTTCTGTTGGTAATAATATTATTATCACGACGGAGATTCTGACCACGTAAATATAAATGCATGGCGTAATAGTTCTGACAATAATAGTCTCAGAGATATTTTGATTAAGATATTATTACAGCTAATATTGTTCTTATCCTTATTTTTATGGTCTTAATGGCACATAGAGAATTGATTGATGTATTATTACTACTATCGTTCATATGTTTATTTTACAGATACTGATATGGGACTGTATCAGGTTAACATTTTTAACTAACCTGAATATTGTTTTCATTTAGAACATAGTGTAAAATATGTCACCAATAACTTCATATTTTAAAGTCACTGAGAAGCTAATAGTCACTCTACTCAAAAATGTCCCCGACTCTAAATTAGAGATAGTCAGCAGTCCCTAACTTGAGCTAGATGTTCAGCCCATCTATTTCCTTAAGATTCATTTTAATATTATCCTCCCAACTATGTCTAGATCTTCCGAGTCGTCTATTTCCGTCAGGGTTTCAATCAAAGATTGTGCACGCATTTCTTAGCATCCTCATGCTACATGCACTGCCGATCTCTTTCTAACATATCATCCGATTCTAAATCTTAAAAATCGGCAAAGCAGTGTGTGGATAATTTTGCACGGTTTGTAAATAGAGTACCGGATTACGTATTGAATTAAAGGGGTTTAGGGTAGGATCCATTGGCGGGGTTTTAGGAAAGTGGTGATGAATTATTGAGCTCTATAAAAGCAGGAAACTTCTCACTAGTTAAGACGGAAGATATGTGCCACAAGGATATTGATAACTTCGGTTAAATGAGGGGACTGGAACGAATAAATTCCTTTCGAACCCTAAAAAAGACCTTGACTTATGGTTCCAAACCCGTGCTTAGAACTATCAACATGGGATGCAGTCTGTTTCTCTCATTTGATCAGAAGACCGTGTTATTTATTTTTTCGAACAAATGTAACGATAACATGGCACTATTTTTAAAGACTTTTACGATTTTTAGGAAGTTTTTTAACTGCGGAAATTGTGTGTGCATTGTGTGTGTGTGCAGTACTTTTTTATTGCAGCCCTGGTCCACGACTCAGTACTTTTTTATTGCAGCCCTGGTCCATGGACATGTGTGGCTGAGGTGTTATGACACATGGTCATTTCCTGCGTGCTGTTATGTTGCCAGTATATTTACTTATCTTTCTTTTTTTATTTTAACATTTGTTAAGCTGTACGAGATACATTTCCTTGACATGCAAGACTGGATAGATAGGCTCCAAGGCCTACGTACATTTTCTAAACACGTTCCTTTACGATAATGCTAATCTAAAGATGACCGTCTTCACCATGAACGTCATTTATGCAGAACGAATCAAACGAGAACTGCCATGCATATGGTATCCGACTTTCCTTTTCCTTAGTGTGACGGTAAGTTTAATCAGTACTCCGAAGACCGCAACTGATTCATTTATTTCATAGTCGCTTAGACCAACGAAAACTTCGTTCCCCAAATGTTGTCTGTATATGTGACCTATATCTACCCTTGAGAAAGTAATAACGAAAGGGTTGCTGGTAGTAATGACGGGATAAAGGATTCTCTGGCTACAAAAAAATTATGTAGGTGTGTAGGAGGCGGGGGGAGGAGGTTAGTTTCGATTCGGGGCCAGATTTTCATTAACGATTACGGCAGCCATGATCCTTGAGGAGAACATCTGCTTCAGCATCAACTTTTTATACTACTTTCATCTCCGTCCGTCTCCCATGCTCTCCGCTTCTCTGTTCCTTTTCGTTATTATTATTTATCTCTCAGTCAAGTAACCCACGTGTATCCTACCTTGAATTTGAAAGCCAAGTGTAGACTACAGATGCCGGCTGGAGCACCAAGTCGTGGTTGGATTTGTAAACCGTATACTTTCTGACAGCTAAGAAATTGGTTCATCTTCATTTGAGCTTCCTGAAATAAAACTCCCTTCAGAATAAATGTATTTTTTGGCAAGATCTGAAAGGTTTTCAAATGCCTGGAAATGTACTGATTACTTGCATTAAACAGGTTTTTCCTCCATTGACCTAATGTACGGAATATTTTTGAGGGTAGAATAGACAGAGTGGTCCCATTAGATTGTAACGTCGGTTAGAATTGTCAGGACGATGATCGATTGTTTGTGTGGGAAGACGTACACAGTTTTGGCTCAGAAATCTGTAGGAAGACGACCACATGAAAGATCAGGAAAGAGATGGAAGGTTAACATCATTAAGGTGCATGATTTTAAAATGGGTTATGAGGGTGGGATGTTCGTTTAATTGGTTCAGGATCGTATCCAGTGGCAGATATTGTTATCAGAAATACTGATATTTCTTTTTCTATTATCATATATTTATTACGTGTTTAGTTAATAATTCCGTCACGGCATGGAGGGTCCTTTAGTCGAGAACAGACAAAGCCTCCAAATATGGTCCGTAGATGCAAATTAATATACTGAATAAGTAGTCGCGGACAGCAGACAAGGGGCAATCCTCCAACTAACAATTCCTCACCATAAAAAAACAATTTTGTTACGAAATGTTACGTAAGGTCACTGACTTGGCTGGATCATGGTCTTGACACAGGCTTAGACATGTAGAATGTCAGCTGATGACAGTAGGCCAGCCTAAAATTGTTATAGTAGCTCCTATGTTGGTATGAGATTCTATGTGTAGAAGAATGAAATATGTTAATGGTTGTAATGAGAGAAGAAAGAAAGCTTGGAAGCCAAATTGTTGTTTTTGAGCAATCGATGTGCAAATAAAGTAGCGGTTGTAAGATGATCCCATTACCTGCCTTCCCCACACCTTTAAGATCCAACCCCCAATCCCTTTCTTCTAACCCCAAAATCCCTTTTATAACACCGGATCTGCCACATGAGACTTCCACAAAATTACATCCTTGGGACCTCTTAATTCTATGGAATGTTAAAAGCGGTCACGATCATTTAAATGCTATTCTACGTTCAAGAAACGAAAAAAAAATAAAGATGTTTAAAATATCCTTAGATTTCAGGGTGAAATTAACTTTTTGCGTGATCACTTTTAGATAAAAAATATAACTTGTAACTTCTGCCGTTTGAAAATTAATAAATTGTTGGATTCAGTTGACAGGAAATGGCTATTATATTATTGTATTCAGTAGTTGCTCTGAATATATGTATTCGTTGTTTCTTAACAAGTTATCTCGGTTGCAAAAAAAAGTCATTGATAGACAGTTGAGTAATGTCAACAAAAATTCGACCCCTGTGGCCACGCAGCGTAAGACACGTTTTATTTGTTTGCAAGGCCAAATCTCGTTATTGGTACAAGCGTCTATTCCCGTCTTCCTGTTATGCTGAGATATTTAAAGCCTTGCGGTGATTTGATCCTCCATCGAAGAAGTGCAACTATTCTTCATGATTTAGAATAGTTTGTATGCTAGGGGAGCTAAGGTCTGATTCTTCATGATATTTATCGTAATTTTTTT